GCACGCACGCACGCACACATACACTTACACACACACACACACACACACACACACACACACACACACACACACACATACACACACACATGAGTAGACATACACAAGCACGAGCGCAAAAAAACAAAAACACACTCATTTTCAGAATGTTGCTTCACCCTTCCAAACCTGACCTCTTCTGTCGTCGACGTACTGATACGTATGTATTCTTTTCCGAAAGAAACAAGACCGCGGACAGACAACTACATTTAAAAGGCAGCTAATTTTCTCGCTATGCCAGAACACAGCACACAATCATCCATCAATTCTGCGTCGTCTCAAGCAAATTTTTACCCGGACCTGCGGAGCGGCAACGGAAATCATCAATCATTCATTCCGGTTCAGACAGACCGCACGCACAACCATATCATACCGCATTAGCTTCCAGACAGGTATACTACATGCACTGCTATTGCAGTAGTTAAAACTCCCTACCAATCATACTATGAACAATTTGAAAGGAAAAGCGTTTCAAGCCCATAGAGATTTTACGACAAATGGGTATTTTCAGGATATGACAGGAAAAAGTAGTTCGAGCACGATTAGGGGTCGAACCTCCACTTTCCACCTGCCGGCCATGTTCAACAGAAACTGAACCATTGCCTTTGGCATGTCCTTGAACTAAATACAGAAGTCAGGTCAGGTTCTCACCCCCTAATAGACGCCAGGAATCCTGATAGAAACCGTCCCCTTGACCTGCCTAAGAAAACAAGAAACTGTACAGCGCTGTGCTATTTCCACTCTCAAAAACCCCAATCACTTCGGCCCCAATAAGAAGTAATTACGTGGCTTTCTGGAAGCTTCGAACTCATGTAAATCTAAAGCTTCTATCAATTGTGAAACTGGGTCACAACAAGACATGATTTCCGACTGCAACATTCTGTTAAGAATTGCCAGCCATAATTTAGTCTCCAATTACAAGGGTATTATCCCGACAGCCATATTAAGATTCAGAAACGCTTAGAAAGATTAGACCAGTCCAGTCCAACGTAATATCCTTCCGACTCAGACGCCCCCACATACACACACACACACACACACACACACACACACACACACACACACACACACACACACACCCCCCTTAAATAATAATTAAAAAAACAACAACACCACAACAAAAAAGACAACCTCCCCCTCCCCCCAACAAAACAACTGCCCTAAAAATACAAAAACAAATCAAAGCAAAAAAAAAAAAACCTCTCTCGTAATTCAACTAACACCGAAAGCTCTCCCTCAATAAACACAGAAAGGGGTAAACTGTGACCACGGGTGGATGAAACATTTACAAACCCCTCGCGTCTCCCCCACATTGCAAGTCCAATTTGTGGCCACTGTTTTAAGCTTGTATAAACACTCTTTACATCATAGAGGAGTCAGGCTCCTTGTCAGAATCAACTCAGGAAAAGTGAGAAACACCTCATGAGAGGGACAGGGTACACTCGATAACAGTAGGCCCTATACCATCTTCTTCAGTCGGGAATCGAACTTACGTCTGCTGCGTGCAAGGCGAAATGACTTACCATTTCACCCTTTAGATACTGGTAAGAAAGGGCGCTGAAGGCGAGAAGTCGGGTAATCCCGAGTATTTCTCGGCACAGCCAGAAGGTAATCTAATCTACAGGAACTTGGCATGCTCCTCGCTGGTATAGTGCCTCTAACGCCTGGGTAGACCGCCACGCAAACCATTCACTTATCACACGAAAAACGAGCAAATAACCCTAGCCAATCGAAGGGGCAGATAGTAACCTATAATTGCAGGACCCAATTCGATTGGTTGATTGTTTTCGAAGGTCAAAGCGGGACAACTGAACCGAATCATCAATAATGTATTAACTGAGACAACAGCCATGCTAAGGTGCTGCGTGTCCCTTTTTTCTTCTGTGCCTGGATTCAGAACTGAACGAAGAGTTTGCACAGTACCCTTTACTGCACTCTTAAAGATTTCTAAACTGACTCGCTGTACCACACACTACAACAAAACATAAACACAGTCCTTTGTACAGGCAGGTTTTAATGAATATCAGCTGAGGAGAGTCGGGCAATAGAAAAGTAAGCTCAGTATTCTTCAACGGACCTTCACGATTCTTCTAGATACACAACACAGGACATTGTAAACACCCGCCAAGCAATGACTCATTTGTCTCATAAAACGACGGCTTGGGATACACATAATATGAATGTTTAAGAGGATGCAGACCTATGAGTCTATTAAGACTGGATTCATTTACGAGTAACATTTCGTCGCTTTATCTTTTGGACCTCCCAGGAGAGGAACAACTAGCGGTGCACTACCTGCAGAGAGTCTTTACCTCGCTACCGTCTCTGTCTGCCCCTGCTCTCTCCTTCCCTTTTCAACCATTTGCTCTTTCTCTCCCAGTCTGTCTGCACCCCCCCGCCCCAATCTCACTGCCCATCTCATCTTGGATTCTGTCCTTTAAGTGTATACTCA